AGCTTATGAATACTAAGTATTCAGTATTTTGTGAATGTTAAGAACTAATATATATTATTACTGAGCGACATACTTGTTATTCTCTGTTGGTTTGTTGTGTTGGATCGAATTGTTTGACGTCTATTGGACCAGAGGCTGGGTATGCAGATGTCTCCATATTGCCTGAATGTTAATTATGATAATTTAGTTGGTTGTGGCTAGCAGAAGAATGGAAGATACGCGTTTTGTCCTAATTAGTGGAAATGGTCAGCTGGAGTGAGTCTTATTGTTCACAGCTGACGAGTCTCAAATAGGACGAAACGCATATCCTAGGTTATTCTGCTAGACGCAACCAACCAAACTGATATATATATATATATATATTGTGTCTAACGTTTGTGGTATCTTCATTAATGATACAAGATATAAAGAGTTAGATCAATTTATCAGATTATCACGCAACATCTAATCATAGCAACAGATTGTTCACCGATTCATGTAGATCATAACGATTTTTCAATGATCATAAATCAATCTATTACACCGAAAACATAGAGTTTATAAAAACAGTTTCACTGACCAACTGGGAGCTTATAACAACAACACCAACATTATGCATACTTTATTGAGTAACATTAATAAACATTTCAAAGTTATATGTGAGCTTAGAATAGGCTACTTCCAATAACCTTTTAATTTTGCATGTCCTGATAAGGATTATTTGATGAGTACCAAGAACTGCAAAACTTCAGGTCAAGCAGAGTTTTACTATTGATTGCCTCCATTCAACTAATACCTCCTTCTTATACAATATTTCAAGAAAACGGTTGATAATAACATTAACGATCAGCTGATGTTTAGGTTATCGTCTGATTTCAAGGGTGACGAGGGAAGGGGATTGAGTGGAACAGTCTGTGTACTTTTCGTCATGGTAATTCATGCAGCCTGTAAAGAAGAAACTGCACTCGATTGTTCATCTTCATGATGGGAGTATATATTACGATTTGGAGAAATATTTGAAAAGTTAGAAGTTAGCAATATATCTTCGGTGTGAAGTGTATGGTTCAAGGAAGTCATTAACCTACATACATTTCTGATGGTCAAAGTGTTTTTAGATTGAAATGGAATCTCATAACAACCGAAATACCGATACATTTCTCGTGGCATTAGTGCGAGAGTTTATATGATAAAAGAGACAGATCAGTGCGGTTCAGTCAATCACAGAATTACATAGTAACTTCAGATAGTTGATATACAGATTCTGTGGTCTCTATGCTTAGAAACTAAATATCAGAGGCCGACAAGATAAATATAGAAACTTGCATTACCATATAGCGAGCCAAGTTGCCACACCTCATGATACCATATCATGCAAGAAAGCATCAAGATGATGGAGCAAGAAATCAATAGGAAAGGAGATAAGAGTGAAAGAATGTCATTAAGAGAGAGTAAGCATGAATTGGAGAATAATGAAATTCAGTTTAATAATTCAGATGAATAGAATGTGTGGATAGATCTCCAACCATTGGTTTTCTTTTGTCATACGGCGGCCAGTAGAGAAGTCTATTATCATTATATAAATTTCCCCTTGCATTCCTAGTGGAACATACGGCTTGAGTAACACGCCTCCATTGCACTCTCTTCTATGCAGTTCTCAAGACCTGACGTCACGACTGCTCACAACCTCTCATTTATTCCTCACACCATCTCCTCCTCCATGTCACCCTCGCCTCGGATGCCAAACTCGTCGTTTCCCCTGTGGATTCCACTCCACACTCTCACCTGGCACATGATGTCACCAGTCGGCCTTCTCACTGTATGCCTAATCCAATCCATCTACACTCTCTGCCTCTACATATCTGTTGGGTGATAAGTTCTTGGTTGGTTCGTTCCCAGACCACAGTTCCCTCTTGCTTATTCTTATTATTCTAGCCATCTGATCTTCAGCTGTTGATGAATGTCTGTAGTTTGTTAGAAGTGTCTTTCGTGACACGCCAAGTTTCTGAATCATCACATAGCAGCATTGACTTGACTGACTTGGTGTTGAAAATCCGGATGTTGTTCTGTGTGCTGAGTGCAGTGCAGTGCAGTGCAGTGCAGTAGATCTCCACACTGATTTCAGATTAGTGAAGGCCTATCTTGCTTGCTGTTCCGATCCTCGTTTTACATCCTTACCTGTAGTTGAGACGATGTTGTCTAAGGAGTTAGGTAGGTAGGTGAAAGAGACAACTTCCTTTTGGTTTTTCCAGTTGGTGGTGATTGGTGCCCCTTGTTGTTGATGCTGTTGTTGGTCCACCTGAAGGAAGTCCAGTCTTCCTTCGCTGCCTAGCCTCTTCTGTCAATTTGTTAGTTTTCGCCTGTAGATCTTCGAGTTTGTGCGACAAGACAGACATAAATCATCATCGGAGAAATGCAAATATTCTCGGCTTTTCTCATCAGTCCAGCCCAAGTCTGCCAATTTTCTCGCTCCTCACAGTTGTCTGCTGAATGATCCAGTCTACCACAATCAGCAAGATCATGGGAGATATTAGGTGGCAGTCTTATCTTAATTCTGTCTGCACTTCAAAGGTGTCACTGAACTTTCCATTGTCGATCACTTTGCATGTGGTGTTTTCATTTAGCTGTTGAATGAGGTTGATAAAGATTTGTCGTACTCTGTAGTGTTGAAGCAGCTGTCTGCCAAATTACTTCTCTGTCGACGCTGTCAGATGTCTTTTCAAAGTCTATAAAGCTGAGTCAGAGAGTTGACTGCCATTCTATGCTCTGTTGTTTGATGACGCATAGTGTTGCAATTTGATGCACACATTATTCGTTCTTCCTGAAGTCAGCCTATTCCGTTCGTAATTTTGAATGCAGAGCATCCTTTAGTCTCTCCTGTATGACGTTGCTTAATACTTTGCCTGTGGTGGACAGGAGCCTGATTTCTCGCCAGTTCTTGCACAGGCTTAGGTCGCCCCTCTTTGGGAGTTTGACAAGGTAGCCCTTCTTCCAATCGCCAGTAACTTTTCTTCCTTCCAAACTTTCTGCTGTTGTCTCTAAGTCTGTTTTTAGTGCTTCTGACGGAATTTCATTTGGTCCTGCTGCTTTGCTGGATTTCAGCAGTTTTATGGCATTCAAGACTTCTGCTGTTGTCGGAGGGCCTATGTTCACTGTTAATTCTGCGGTTGCTGGTGTAGGTATTTCTGGACGAGTTGTAGGTGGTGGTTGATTCAAGAGCTTTCTGAGGTGCTCAGCCCATTGTTTCCTTTGTTCCTCCTCTTCGGTAGCTAGCTTTCCTTCACTATCTTTCATTGGTTTCGTCTGCGTTGATTTCTTCCCGGATAGTAACCTGGTTATTTGATATAGTGTTTTCAGGCGTCTCCTACCAGCAGTCTGTTCTGTTTCACTTGCAAGTGCGGTTGAAGCGTCCTTTGTCTTTGCGCGCACTCTTCTTCCCTATGTGGCTTCATACAATGAAGGCATGTTTTAGTTTGGCCACCTCTGACTCTTTTCCACTGAGAACCTACTTCTGGTAGCATTGGGCGATGATGAGGTGGAAGGTGACTTCTCATGTATAGCGTATGTATCAGTTATCTGAGTCTATAAACGTTCACAGCCTCATCAACAGATTTCCCTTTACCCCTTAAAACATCACAACGCATCGCGTATGCTATGAAGGTAGTGGGGGTCTAACACCTGAAGCCTTGTTTTGTCTTTGACTTTTAATGGTCACGTTTCAGCGAAACAAATTGGAACTGAACATCCTGTAGCCCTTAATAGAGTGTTGGATAACACAAAGGTGTAAGTTGACAGACCTCCATGATTGATTCCAACATTAAATAAGATTATGGAGACTATTCGTCGATGTGTACACAAGCGAACATAAAATCTGACACGCTGAGAAAGTTAATTTAATCTTGAAGTTGACGCATAGTTACATTGTGGGAGCCAGTGGTGAGATTTCCCGGGGAACTGTACTCTTCAAGCGGTGTCCATCGAAGCGATTCAATTTTATGATAGATATTCTTATGGAGGTCTCAATCTCATCACCTGATTACACAGAGGTTGACCTAGTCATCGGAAAAGTTTCGTTACACCTAGGATATGCAGATGACTTAGTCTTATTAGGTGAAGACGCTGGATACACTGAGTAGCAATTTGAGAATGTCTAAAATGGATGCACTTTTCGCCGTCAAAATGCAAATTGTTGCTCAGCGATTGGTCTTCAACGATTCCTTGGCTAACGCCAGAGAATGAGTGTAGTGGTTCAGTGTGTTGGCCACTTTACTTACCTGGGAAGTAGGATCATACCTAGTGGCTCAGTGGCCGATGAAATCTCTGCACACATACAAAAGGCTCGGTTGGCTTCTGCCAACTTGCACCACTTTTGGCGCCGTCAAAATATTCGATTGCCTATCCAGGGTCGCGTATACTGCATAGCAGTCCGTTCTGTTCCATTGTATGGCTTTGAAACATGGCCATTGAAGGTGAATAACGTAGAACTCAGGCGTACAGTTAGAGAGAGAGAGTGGAAAAAGGTAAGTCAATTGACACAGTTGTAAACCTTCATCGATTAAGATGGCTAGCCGATGTATATATTGTTTATATTCTAAGTCATCGATTGTTTCATCTCATACAATGTTATCCAAACTAGGTTCAGACTGGAAAAAGACTCAAGACGGCTTAACTAAAACTCGGTATCAGTGTATGCAAACTGATGATGCAAACTGGATGGTAGGGGGTCGGCAACACAACAGAAACTTTCAGTAATTGAAGACTAACCCTAGGTAAAAATGCTAGTTAAGATCAGTTATATTTGTGTAAATGCGGGTGATACTTTGCACTGTATGGACTGAATTAATTATTATATATATATATATATATATATATATATATATATATATATATATATATATATATATATATATATATAGTTTTACAAACGAGTTAAAACTACTCAAAAAACGATAACACCCAGAAGCCTATCAATAGTAATCTAATGATAATCGATACATTGACACTAAACATTTACTATTCAGGTCATTTGAAGGACACTCATCAGGAGTTGGTATTGAATTCGATTAAAAGTATTATAGTATAAAGGTAAGAGAATTGTATAATCAAGTTTATTATAATATAATTGTATTATGTTAAGAAAATGAATATAACTTTATAATGGAGAATATATCATGGTGGAATCAACGACTATGGAAATCTTATATTGATCATCCAAATAGTTTAATCCCTGAACGAAATACTGCTGAATATACTTCAACTAGTACACATTATACAAGTCAACAATTAAATCGACATACTATTTATAATCTGGATAATACACAGACTATTTCAATAGATGGAAGATCCTCTGAAAGATCATTGAATAGTACTACTACTACTAGTAGTAGTACCACTACTACTACTACTAATAGTAGTAGTAGTAGTATTAATGATAATAATAATACTATTCAACAGAATACTTTCAATAATCTTATTGAAGAGAAAATATCTAATTATTCACAATTATATTATAATAATATATTGAATGAAATCTCTTCAAGGCCAGTAATCAATAATTTACAATCGATTTATAATTATAAAAATCGTCCATTAGGATCATTACGTGTTTATTATTTAACAAGACCATATTCAGCAACATGTATAAATCGTTCATTATCATTGCATAGATTATCATCACAAGAGAATATGATATCATTATCATCAAGACAATCAAGTATTGGTAATTGTATAAATTTTTCACGGGATAACTCGTTCTCTTCATCATTACCTAATAATAATAATAGTAATAATAATAATAATAATAATAATAATAATAATAGTATGGCGTATATTAAAAAATCGTATCCTATAAATTGTAATGGTAAAATGTGTCAATTACATGAACGATATAAACCATCCAGCATAACTGATTGTTATAATAAAACATATTCAAGTAATACGTCATATGTTAAAAGACGATTATCAGCGCCAAAAACTCATAATTCCCTAGTGGATACATTAAAACAAAAGTCTACAAGATTACCTCGTAGAGCATTATCAGCATGTAATAAAGATATAAATCATATAAAATATTCTAATAAATTATTAAACAATAAAATCAATTATAATGAAGATATTTTATTGGATAATAAAAGAATATTGAAATCTTCTTCATCGCCTATTGGTCAATCAGTGATATTAAAAGAAAGTAAACATGCTGAACAACCTTCTTCTTCTTCTTCTTCTTCTCTGAATAATCCATTGAAACAAATAGATCAAGTCAAAGAAGATGTTTCATTGAATTATACTAATTCTATACTTAATAATAATAATAATAATAAACTTGAAAATAAATTACAATTTTTACAATCTAATAATCAAATATCAATCATTATAAAATCAATAAATAATCAACAATTACAAAAAAATATAAATGATAATAAAATCAATAATTTAACACAATCTATTCATCAAATAGAAAGTGTATCTGATGAAGATCATTTATTCGAAACACTATCACAAAATAAAATCAATAAGGATAATAATATTGAAAATACTTCAATAATAAATGAAATAGAAGAAATGAATAAAAATATTATTCATAAGATAATGGATAAAGAAAATCAATATAATACTAATATACATGATGATCAATTGAAATATTCATCAATTATAAGATCGAATCCTGACGAAGTAGAAACTCTACAACTATCATCAAATGTTGACATTATGCCTCCACCTCCTTCTCCTTCTCCTCCTCCTCCTCCTCCTCCTCCTCCTCCTCCTACTACTACTACTACTACTACTACTACTACTACTACTACTACTACTACTACTACTACTACTACTACAGAGGTCAATAATTATCCTATAAAATCAATACTTAAACCTTCTAAACACTCAATAAAATTGGATTCAGTTAAGAAATACTCATCATCAGCTGATGTATCAAATAGTTCATCTATAACAGAAACATTGACTGCAATACAAATTCCTAATTCAATGGGTTCAATATATCCTAATAATATTGATCAAAGTATATTAAATCGTAGAGTTAATTCAGCTGATTGTTATTCACATAGATCTAATATATCCAATATAATTACTACTACTACTAATAATAACAATTATTATTATACTACTTATACTACTAATCGACCAAAATCATCTATACAACGAAATAAATTTTCTTCAATGGAAATACATACTACTTCAATTGATAGACAATTATCAACACGTAACAATAAATTAAGTGTACGTTTTGATATGAATAATAATGCTGTAATAGAATTCTCTCCATATGATATAATCTATTTAGACAATAGATTAAAATAGTAAATGGAATTGTTAAGTTATATTGATATAAGATAGACTGAAATCCCCTCCCTGTGTGTGTGTGTGTGTGTGTGTGTCTATATGATAACCTTTGATGCGAAAAAACATCTTGATAGATTTGTAAATATCCAATAATTTAACAATGAATAATAAACCTATTTCTTATTTATCATGTAAAATTTATTCGATTAACAGAATAGGTTGAATGATTATATGAAATTATTCTATAGTCGAAGGTTGCTGATAAGACATACAGATATTATTATTATTATTAGTCCCTTGGGTTCCTAGTGGAACATAGGGCTTCAGTAGCACGCCTCCAGTGACCTCTGTTCTCCGAGATCTTTCGAACCTGGTCCCACGACAGCCCACAACCTCTCATTTCCTGCTCGCACGACCTCCTCCATGTCACCCTCGGACGTCCAACTCGTCGCTTCCCATGGGGATTCCACTCGAGGGCCTGACGCGTGATGTCCTCAGTCGGCCTTCTCAGTGCATGGCCAATCCATCTCCACTTCCTCCTGCATATTTGTTGCGTGATAGGTTCTTGGTTGGTTCGTTCCCAGAGTTCCTTGTTGCTTATTTTTTCTGGCCATCTGATCTTCAGCAGCGAGCGTAAGCAGTTGTTGATGAATGTCTGTAGTTTATTGGAAATGCCTTTCGTGACGCGCCAAGTCTCTGAGCCATACAGAAGCACTGACTTGACGTTGGTGTTGAAAATCCGTATCTTATTCCGCATGCTGAGTGCAGAAGATCTCCACACTGGTTTCAGGCTAATGAACGCCTGTCTTGCTTTTCCGATTCTGACTTTGACGTCCTCGTCCGTCCCGCCTGTAGTTGAAACAGTGCTTCCTAGATAAGTGAAGGAGGTTACTTCCTTCAAGTTTCTCCCGTTGACGGTGATTGGAGTTTGTTGTTGTTGTTGATGGTGGTGGTGCGGTATCTTCATCACTTCTGTCTTCTCTATATTCACCTGAAGTCCCGTCTTAGCTGCCTCTTCTATCAACTTGTTAGTTTTTGCCTGCAGATCTTCAAGTTTGTGTGACATTAGGCATAGGTCATCGGCGAAATCCAAGTCTTCTAGGTTCTTTTCCTCAGTCCAGCGTATCCCCCTCTTCTCGCTGCCTACTGTTTGCTGCATGATCCAGTCCACCACAATAAGGAATATCATGGGGGATAGTAGGCAACCTTGTTTCACTCCTGTCTTCACTTCAAAGGCATCACTGAGCTTCCCATTGTGGATTACTTGGCATGTGGCATCTTCATATAGTTGTTGAATGAGGCGGATAAAGGTTTGCGGTACTCCGTAGTATTGAAGCAGTTTCCAAATTACTTCTCGGTCAACGCTGTCAAAGGCCTTCTCAAAGTCGATGAAGTTGAGGAAGACATACAGATATAAGTAGTATATTTCAAGTTGTTATTCTTTGTAGACTATCATCAACTGGAGGAATAAAAGAAACTTGGGAGCACTGGACAGTTGTTTCTTCCGATTAGTATGAGACTCTTGACCAGTGTGCACCAACGACCCTGCAACACCATCAGGGATCGAACCCGCCAACTTCTGTTACCTCACGATATAGTGCAACTGCCAACCAATATCATTGTTGAGTAACTGTTCTCATGACCATCAGTCTTTGACTCCACCGATCACCACTTCTCATTGGAACTTTGAGAATACTTTTCGAAGCTAGTCACTAATGAGCACCAGTTCAATTGAATTTTGAGGGAGTTATGGAGATTTGGAAATATTTCAAGTTGTTATTCACTGTAGATTGATATCATTTGGAGGAACATTGAAAACGTAGGAGCACTGGATAGATGTTTCGTCCTGGGATGTGACTTCTAAGCAGTGTGCACCAACGACTCTGCCAGGGATCGAACCCACGATTTTCAGGTTTCATGGCCAGCACGTTACCATTGACTATATCGTGAGGTAACAGAAGTTGTAAATATGGAGCATTGGATTCTAACCCAGTGGCTAGCTCAATGGTAACGTGCTGGTAACAGGACTTGAAGGTCACGGGTTTCATCCCCGGTGGGGTCGTGGATGCCTACTGCTGAGGAGTCCTATTCTAGTCAGACGAAGGAGCTCTTCAGTGCTACCAGATTTCCTTTGTTCCTTCAACTGGTATCAGTGTACGATTAATAACAACTTGAAATATTTCCAAATCCTTACAATTCACTCAAAATTCAATAAGTAGTATATGTTGAGAGAATGGCAGAAAGCATAGAGAATTACCAGCAATGAGTAAGGATCCCGCCAATAGAAATGTAAGAGACAAGGCAGGTGTATGAAGAGGAAATTGTGCAAGGTGTACCATATTTAACGACTACTATCCCATATGTTGACAATAAACATTCCTTCCTGCGTATCGGTCTTTTATTTATTTCTAATCGTACAGATGACTAAGAAATTGAATTTCGAGGAGGTTGTGAATGGGATTTGGAAATATTTCAAGTCAGTATTCATCATAGACCGATATCAGTTTGAGGAAGCAGTGGACAGCTGTTTTATCCTAATTGGAAATATGGACCATTGGATTCCCACCCAGTGGGTCAATGGTAACTTGCTCATCACGGAACCTGAAAGTTGCGGGTTTGATTCCCGTTGAAGTCGTGGGTGTGCACTGCTGACAAGTCCTATACTAACACAAAACAGGTATTCAGTGCTACTAAGTTTCCATTATTCCTCCAATTGATATCAGTCTAAGATGAATAAAAACTTGAAATAAGAAATTATACACACTAACCAATGTTATATACTATCCATAATGATTGAAGGAAGTTTTAATTCCACTATATATGATATAAGGAGGGAGGAAGAGAGAAGTGGGAATTGTTTGTTCACTGTATAATGTATAGAATACAGTTTGTCACCTATAATCCCATCATACGCTTCCATAAGTCATTCTGAAGGAGGAGATAAACTTGTAGATCCAGACCCAAAATAGTAATCTCTCCTTAATACAAACTTACTTATCAACTGTGTAGTAAAACAACTACCCAATGTTTAGTATAAAAAAGTGTGCAGTATGTAAGCGCATTACAATTTTATTGATTTGTGTTAAATAGATCAACTAGAACGCTTCGATAAATTCATCTTTTAAGTAAGACTAGACGATTGAAAACATGTTTGGTCGCTTAAATTGTGTATAATGGTCAATAGATTACTGAATTATGAAGTGATTATAGGTTGGAGAGTATAGTTAGAGAATCATGTCCCTTGAGCTCCTATTGCAACATAGAGCTTCAGTAGCATGTCACCATTTCAATCTCGTCTTCGTAGTCTTCTAATTTGACATGGCTCTACAAATGCTAATAAGATTACCTTTCTTCTTCACACCATCCCCTCCTTTATGTCACTCTCGGCAAACCATTTTGTCGCTTCCGATTCGGATTCCACTCGAGGCCCTGGCCTGGTGCATGATCTCCCCAATCAGCCTTCTCAGTGTATATGTAATCCAATCCATCTCCACTCTCTTCGACTGCATATTTGTTGGACGATAGCTTCTTGGTTCGTTGGCTTGGTTCCACATCGCTTATTCTTTCTTACCATTTGATCTCCATCTTCAGTAGCGAATGAGCGCAAGCGTCAGCTATTGATGATGTATGTCTGTAATTTGTTGGAAATGCTTTTCATAACACGCCAAGTCTCTCAACCATCATACAGAAGCAATCACTGACTAGACTGACATTAGTGTTGAGAATCCGGATGTTGTTTACATCTTGTGTTGAGTGCAGTGCACTGTAGTTTATCGAATAAAGATAGAAAGAAGCCAAGACATAAAGATTGGATAAGTATTATAGTACTTCCTTATCGAACATCCACATTATAGGAAATAAGGCGTATCCTTGAACTCACTTCTGTGTAAATTAAAACATCCGATTCCTGATTCGAAACAAGAGAACTATGTTTATAAGGTAGACTATAATGAATTCACATACATTGGACAGACATCATGTCAAGTACTAACACGTCTAGTTGAAGACGGTCAACAGAAAAGATGGGTTAGACATCCCACCTAGATGGTGGCAAACATTAATGACTTACATTATTATTATTTTCCCCTCGGGTTCCTAGTGGAAAAAGCAGCTTGAGTAGAGCGCCGCCATTTCACTCTCTTCTATGCAGTCTTCAAAACCTGACGTCACGACTGCTCACAACCTCTCATTTATTCCTCACACCATCTCCTCCTCAATATCACCCCCGCCTCAGACCCCCAACTCATCATTTCCCCTTTGGATTCCACTTGAGGACCTGACCTGGCACATGATGTCCCCAGTTGGCCTTCTCAGTATATGCCCAATCCAATTCATCTCCACTTCCTACTGCACATTGGTTGGTTCGTTGCCAGACAGAGTTCCTTGTTGCTTATTCTTTCTGGCCTTCTGATCTCCATCTTCAGTATCGAGTGAGCGTAGGTGACAGCTATTGATGATGAATGTCTGTAGTTTGTTGGAAATGCTTTTCGTAATATGCCAAGTTTCTGAACGATAACCTCACTTGGTTAACTAGTTCACTAGTTACTAGCCTGTCCTAAGCCTGAATAAAGAGGGAAGGTTGGGAATATGGCGAGCAACCCTACCCCATAAAACCAATCCAATCACTAAAGAAACTTTAAAGCAAAAAGAGATTATCAAAAATATTTAATAGTTAACTTTGTTTATTTATTGGTAAATTCACAGTGTCCACGACTAATGGTTTTTTGTAAATATTATTTTCTATCCATTTTCCCCTTATTCCCTGTGTCACTTGTTGTCCAATCAAAATAGAGAACGAAATATCTTATGTGATTGGTTGTATAAAATCGAAAAGTAGTATAAAACAGGGCAAACTATGGAAAGGTTCCTTTATTTTTATAATGAGTGACGATACTGTCCAAAGTGGTGTAACTGAAAAGGTGACCTAAATCTTTGAGAGAATTGGTTAGAAATCATGCTCCTGTCCACCCAAAGCAAGCAAACTATTAAGCTGCATCATCCTGAAGAGATTATGAGAT